GAGCAATCAGGGTTGTCTGTCCTGTGGGAAGTCCAAGGACCACCCTCCTCCATCCAGGTCTCATAAGGTGAGCATCCAAACTGTCCAGGCTCCCACAAAGCCAATACATATAGGCATCCTCCTGAATATTAACCTCCATCAGGCGATGAAAGGAGACAGAGACAGAGACCCACATTGGAGCACCGGACTGAAATCTCAAGGTCCAAATCAGGAGTAGAAGGAGAGTGAGCACGAGCAAGGAACTCAGGACCATGAGGGGTGCACCCACACACTGAGACAATGGGGATGTTCTATCAGGAACTCACCAAGGCCAGCTGGCCTGGGTCTGAAAAAGCCTGGGTTAAAACAGGTCTCACTGAACATAGCGGACAATGAGGACTACTGAGACCTCAAGAACTATGGCAATGGGTTTTTGATCCTACTGCTCCCTAGGTTTTAAAAGATTTGCTTCTACTGGACTGCAGTTTAATATATTCCATGAAATTGGTCGTTTGTCTGTAAAATGTGCACATGGATGACCTTATTACAGTACCTGACTGGAAGTCCCATGGGAAAAGCGTTCCCCCAGTTTAGTGTCCAGAGACTTTTATTTTTTATTTATATTTTTAAGTTTTTGAGACAGGGTTTCTCTGTATCTGGCTATTCTGGAACTTGCTTTGTAGACCAAACTGGCCTTGAACTCACAGAGATCTGCCTACCTCTGCCTCCCTGAGCGCTGGGATTATAGGCATGTACCACCACTGCCTGGCTTCAGAGACACTTCTTGACTCAAGTGAATATTCTTTCTCTTCAAATAAGTTTAGGGCTGAAATTATTTCCAATTAGTAAATGTTCCTATTATCATAGTAGATATTTTGTTTTAGATACATTCCAAGTTATTTACTGTGGTTGTTAAGAATTTTGTTGTTGTTCATTTAATTGTAATTCCCTTTCTTCAATAAACTATCTTAATTGTACTTGGAGTGAAGAAATGAGTTAACAAGTCATGGACTACAGAGGGACTCAGAAATTCAAGTGAAAATAAAAAACGGATTGGAGAATGTAAAGATGCTATTGCTGTAAGTTAGTAAAAATACTGGACTATGAAGTGAACTAAAAAGATATAGTGGAAGAAAAGTAGAATCTATATCCATAGTACATTTCTTTATATACTGGAATTTATTAATCTCATTTAAAAAAAAATTTCCAAACAATCTCACAAACATCTACAATGACACTGGAATGTGATTTGATTAATGTAAAGTAAGAATTATTACTATTATTTAAGGAAATTACCACAGTATGTTCCATAAAAGCAAATCTTTCAAAGACAATTTTGCTAAAACAACAAAGAAGAAAGTCTCTCTCTCTCTCTCTTTTTTTTGAGACTGGGTCTCACTTTGTAGCCCTGGCTGGCCTGGAACTCGAGATCCTCCTGCTTCTACTCCTGAATGCTGGGATTATAGAAGTGTGCCATGGGCCTGGCCTACAACCTTTTCTCATTCATACAACTATCATTTCAAAAATCCGAAAGAATTCAAACAGTCCATATAATTAGCTATGAATTTTATTACTTTTTTATGTTTTGGTCTGGGGAAATTTTAGGTTTAATTAAGACCCAACAGCATTATAGAAACACACAAATTAATCCACTATGCCTTTGCATAAGTATTTTGAATTTATTCAAATTACTCTTCAAAGAGACATACTTCATTTAAAATTAACAGCTAATAAAGTCAATTTTAAAAATACATTGATATGAAAACAGGCACAACATAAAAGCAAAGACTCCTGATTTTAGAGACTATGAAATTATTATTTTTGAACTTCTTCAGTATCAATTCTGGGTGAACCAAGATGGCCTCTTCGTATTTCGTTCAATAATCCTCTTGCCCTGATCATGCTCTGAGGGTTTCTCTCCCGTGTACAGTACCACAGTCTCTACAGTTGGGGCTTTAAAGGGACCCCCTTCTTGAGTCCATATTTGTTGTCTGATTTGTGTTGTTTCCTTGCGTACTTTTTCATAGCAGTAGCCACAGAGAACATGTTTCTGCTTCAGATGGCCACACTCAGGGCAAACGTCTATATTGTTCTTGAAAACAAAGAAAAACCTATTAACGACAGGAAATATACTACACAATCACCAGCCAGCAGGAGCCCTAAGATGCCGACACTGCATCTTTCTGAGAGCGCTCAAGCTATATGAGGTTATATACTATCTCGTTCAACTTTAAAAAATAACAGTAAAACGGAGAGAACAGTAACACTGAGTTCAAATGAGGAAGAAAATCAGGGCTAGAACTCAAGTTTACCCATCTAGTATGTTTTTATTTGTACGGCCCATGAATAAACTATTCTCAGATTCTCTTACCTACCCTCTGGTCTGAGGAGAATATTTTGGTTATGTAACTCTAGTGAATTCCACATTAAGAATAGCCGAGGAAAAAGTTGGGAGATTTTTACATAAGAATTGCTTGTGAGGATCCCACGTGACTTTTTAATTAAGACCTCTATCAGTCCTCTAATTTCAAACAATAAATAATCAACAAGGAGCCATCAACACAGAGGAACATCAAGGAAGAGTTAAATTACTTTTTGATCTACGGTGAGCCAAACAAGATGACAAGACTATTATAAAGCCAATTCTTCTGCTGTATGAATAAGAGGTCTGTCAATGGTAGGCTTGAGGAAGAGTGGGTGTGCACACACCCCCCAACACACACACACACACACACACACACACACACACAAATTACCTTAATTTTAATAAGCTTCCAGGAGTTTCTTCTCCTACACCGGTTAACTTCAATGGAGCGTCTGTTTTTGGGAGCTGCCATCCAAAAGATACTATCTAAGAAGCTGGAATCCTCTTTGTTTCCACTGGTGCCGTGGGCTGGGTCCGTGAGTATGGATGGACCCTGGACCGCTAATGCTGGTGCTAAAAACAAAACAGAGATGAGAATCAATCTCTAAACGACTACTTATAGATACCTTCTCTTCAACAATCAACACGTCACTACACATACACACCTGTAAAGTATGTGTGTATGGATGCACACGTGAAGGTCAGGGGACAACTTTCAGAGTTAGTTCTCTCCTTCCACCGTGTAGGTCTTGGGGCAAGAACTCAGGTTGTGGCATCAAGGCCCTTTACTACTGAACCAAGCGGCTGGCCTGACATACACAGTTTAGAATGTCAAAGTAAACAGATATTAATAAGCCCCAGCTATTAAAATACTAAAGTTCACACAAAATGCAATTTAACATAATTCAAATGGAATGTTTTCTTAGTCCAGTCTACTGAAGCAACTGGTTTATTAAGCATTTCTTGCCTTATGCAATGCTGGATGCTGTAGTTTAGTAGTAGATAACGTACAAGTAAGTTTAATTTTGAGATTCCTTACATATACTTTGACCAGCACTGAGATGACTAAGCTGGCCATCAGCTGTACCATAGTATTCTGACCCAGTTAGCTCCTTTAGGAAGCTTATACGTTTCTAAAGCCATTACATTCTTCCTTAATATTTAATCTTGACCTGTGTGCTAAGAAAAGGAACTTTATTATGTATGACCCTATCAAGTATTTCACAATTATTTTTTTTCTAAACTGCTTAGAAAGTATTCCTTTATCCTTCCTTTTATTCTTCAGACTTGCAACAGTTCGCTCTATTCTTTGGACTTCTTACCAGTACATAAGCTTCCCAAGTACAGACCTCCAGAAATTGGGAGGTTGAAGCAGGAGGATCGGGCACATATGGGCAGACTGGACATGGATAGACCTTGTCTCACCCCGCCCCCCTTTCCAAGCCCAAAAGAGAAAAAAAAATACATAAAGTTTTCTATATTGGCATTCTTTCTCAACAGACCTTATGTTTTGCTACATAGAGCCCAGACGTTATAACAGCTCTGGACTGCCTGCGTGACACTGGGGACTTTTTTGGCCTACTGGACACTGAATCGATTGGAATGATTATTTCAGGTAGCACATGGAGACAAATATTTATCACACGGCATTTATGATCTAATGGAATAAATCTATTCAGATCGTCTAGGTATTATCACTTCTGGGATATGCTGTAAAAGGTAAAGCAATTTAAATTTTAACATCCAGGATACCAGTAGCTGGAAGCTAGGCTGGGCTACACAGTGAGTTCCAGACCTCCAGACGAGCTACAGAAACAGCTTCTCCCCAATCCCTCCAAGTCAACTAAAAAAGCACGGGCTGTTTCTCTCACACAACTCGGAAGCCCCCGCCAACCCACTCCCCACGAATTCTCTCCTTACGGACCCCACCGGGGACTGGCAAGGCCGTTCCAGTTCTGCCTCAGTTGCTGCAGCAGCTCCCAGCACCTGCGGAGCGGTCCGGGACGCGCCGGCCACGGGAAGGACAGCAGCAGCAAGGAGATAGCCATGTTTCTCTCTGGACAGAGATGCCTGACGGGACCGTGCGCAAGCCCTCCCGCTCCCCCGCCTCCCTGCTCAGAGCATGCGCAGGGCCGCCCTTAGGCTTGCGCGCGCACTCAGCGCCCGCCTGCCTGGGATCCTCAAACTCCAACTCCCAGCTGCCCCTGGAGCGCATCCGACTCTCCTCCAATCAGAGATAATAGAACATTAAAGGAAACAGACGCCCCTCGCATGGGCGTGGCTGTTTCCCGACTTCCTGGGTAAAGATGGCAGAGCGCGGTTACAGCTTTTCGCTGACTACATTCAGGTACCCGGGGGCGCCCCTCAGGTTCCACGCATCACAGGTCCCAGGAGCGCCCCGGACCAGGCCCCCGTGTCCTGGGTCTGGCTGGTGTTTCTGCAGGAGCGCGCGGGGATGGGGCTGGACTCGTAGCTTTGCAGAGTCATGTGCGGTGCCAGGCCTGGGCCCAGGCAGGGGCCCGCCGCCTTTGGGGCTGAGGATCTGCAGGCTCCGAGCCAGGCGCTGGCTTTCCCTCTCTAGCTTAGAGAAAGCGCTATGGGACAGCCTGGTTTCCGCTGGTCCATCCAGGACTAGGATTTCCTTCCTGGCCCAGATAGGGAGCTTCGGAAACGGATTCCTGCTCAGATGTATGAGACGTCCTTTTTCCTTTGGGAAATCGTTCTGTACTGTTACGTCCGAGTCGTAGTCTCCCATTTAGAGCCAGTGTGCTTCGAAGCTCACTCCGCTTTCGGTTTCTACTATGCTGCTATAGACTATAACTCCAAAATGAAAGCGCAGGTTTCCCGTCCGGATTTCGTGGCGCGCTCAAACTGATAAGCTAAAGTCGATGAGCTTGATTCGTCACGAAAAAATGGCTTTAAAAAGATTTTAGACTTTGCTGTTATGGGATAGAGAGAGAGTTAAATGCATTTTCTCAAGGCACACACGATGTGTACTTTATTTCCTCGTCGTTCCCTGTTTAAGAACATTCATCACGGAAGAAATTAATTAGACAAACGACTGTAGTTTGACCATTGTCTTCAGGATCCGACTGAAGGCAGCCAGGATCTACTTGTTGAATTTATCTGTACCTGGTTTTCCACTACCACCTATATGTATGTTGAGTTAGGGATGAGCTAACGACAGCCTAAACAATTGAGCTTTTTCAAGGTTGTCCACTCGTAGCTAAATGGATATTCAAACGTTGTTCGTTCTGAAAACAAAAATGAACATACTTCTTGTCACAATATATTGTCTTTCTTTTGAAAATTGCCTTTTTGTAAGTTCCGGATAACTGTGGCATGCAATTTTGTTGTATTTGTTTTGGGAACTTTGAATGATTTCCCCTTAATTCCTTAGCAAATGATTTAGTCACATACTGTGGCAGAGACTAATTATGCATGGTAGTCACTTATATTTGTAAACAAAAGAGATATGGTCCCAAATGAGGTCTCACTGGAGCTGAAACAAATGAATATAGACCATAAGGGACTGGAAATATTTTAAGATTTCTTTTTGAGACAGAATCACTTGTAGCCCAGGCTAGCTTAAAATGGCCAGTTACTAAGGACGACCTTCAACTGCTCTTCCTGCCTCTGATTCCCCAGGTGCACTACCACCTGGTTTATGCTGTGTCATGCATTCTAGGCAAGCACCCGACCATAGTAGCCACATCCTCAGCCCTGAATCTTTTATAGCAAACATCTGAATATTTGTACAGCGGATTTCTTTACTGTAACAACCTTAAAAACAACAACAACAACAAACATGATAAGCTTTATCTGTTTAGGAAAGAAATACTGTTTTTAGTATTAAACTATTAATGATATAAGTTGCCAGGGATAGGAAGTGAAGCGAGTAAATATTCGAAAGTGCATGAACATAGACCTTTGTTTCTTTTTAAGCCCGTCTGGGAAACTTGTCCAGATCGAGTATGCTTTGGCTGCAGTAGCTGGAGGGGCCCCTTCAGTGGGAATTAAAGGTAATTAAATGTTTTGTTCACTGCAAATGCTTCTTGCTGCGTACCTGAGATACGGTAGATGTAAGTGCGTACTTCTCAGCGGTCTTTTTGTTAGAGAATTTTGAAGTTTAAAGAAAATAGCATTCAGACCAGTAATTGAAATTTCATAGCAAATATGTCATTGTAGTATATTGTGATACTCCATAGGTAGTTTTTTTCTCAGGAAACTATTATTATTTTATTTTTCAACTGAGTATTTTTCCCTGGAAGTTTTATCTTATTTATAAAGGGCTAACTGTAAAACATTTAAAGATAAAATTATTATATGTTCTGGTGTCCTTATAGAAAATTTTCTTATCATTTATAGTAGAAGAGTTACCAAGTTTATTGTTTTAAAACCAGTAGACCTGAAAATATTGAGAGAGACTGGGATTTGTTTGTTTGTGCAGTATAAATGACCAGTGCCAGAAAAATGATTTATTCTTTGTCAGGTAATTTTTTTTTATTTTTTTTAGTTTTTCGAGACAGGGTTTCTCTGTAGCTTTGGAGCCTTTCCTGGCACTAGCTCTTGTAGACCAGGCTGGTCTCGAACTCACAGAGATCCGCCTCCGCCTGCCTCTGCCTCCTGAGTGCTGGGATTAAAGGCGTGCACCACCACCGCCCGGCTTGTCAGGTAATTTTTGTATAAGAATCCAGAAAAAGGCTTTTTAATGTAGAGAAAGCAGCAAATTTGTTGAATGCATCTGTAACTGGAAAGCTAATGAAGAGCATGTTCTAATATTTGTCTTTTTTCCCCTCTCTTTTAAGCTGCAAATGGTGTAGTATTAGCCACTGAGAAAAAGCAGAAATCCATCCTGTATGATGAAAGGAGCGTCCACAAAGTGGAACCGATCACCAAGCACATTGGTTTGGTGTACAGTGGCATGGGCCCAGATTACAGGTACTACAGCCGGTCACAGTGTTTTCTCATCACCTTGCTCCTCCTCTGTGGTTGTTTCATTTAGTCCTAGCAGCCTGGTGATAGCTAAATGTAGTTTGCCTGTACGGGTTATGTGGAGCTTGATCTTGTGAGGTGATAAATTACCTACTACCTATTTTTTCTCATCATTATTTCATTTTTCTCCAAGGTCTTGGTAGGAAGGGCTTTGGTGTTCTGATTCACCTTAAAAATGATAAAATGCATTCATTTATAATAAAATATTGTTAAGGTGATTCAGGCAACAAGAGAGAGCATGGACCATGTAGAGTTAGCCTCATTCTGTTTATTTTTGCTCTTATTAAAGGGACAAATGTGTTTAAGGCCACTGAAGGCTTCTGCGGGGCCAGCCAGGAGTCATAGGCCTGTAGAATCACTCCCTTTTTATTTCACTGGAGTACCAGTAAGTTGAAAGAATCTAACTAAAATAAAAGAATTTTATGAAACAAGATAGATAGTTTCACTTGGAATCATAAGCCAACAGGGCTACCAGAATATGATTGCGTTTCTGTTGTGGAAAATTCTCCACCGCCATGTAGAATGGACACCGCAGTGGACTGCTGCTGATCAGATACGCTTCAGATAGAAGGGCTTGAGTGTCTTCGAGAGAGATAATGTGTATATTTCAGAGAAGTAGGCCTGAGGGCGTGAGGATAAATCTGTCTGATTGTATTTCATTTCTGTATTTGTCAGGGTTCTCTAAAGGAACAGAACTGATAGAAGATACATACACCCTCCTCCCACATACACCATGGGGTTATTAGACCCATGTAGGCTGTGGTCGGGATAGTCTAGCTGGCTGCATGCTGGCAGAAAGGCAGAGAGTGTGGTAGTTATTATTCAGTCCATGAGGCCGGATGGCTCAGCAGTTGACACGTTTATCTAATTATTCTTTATCAATAAAAAACTTGGAGTCAGGTATCAGGGTAAGAACCTGAATAATCAGAAAAGCAGCAGAGAAGCCACCAGTGACCTACCTCTTCCATTCCTCCATCCAGAAAGGTGAGCTCTCTCAGCCCACCTTACTACTTCCTGTATCCTATCTGTCCTCACTCCTCTATGGTTCATTTTGGTCAGCTAGTGTCTAGCTCTGCCCTCTGACTTCAAGCAAGCTTTATTGTCAGAGTCTGATCAAAATATCACACAACAAGCAGTCCCAGTCTAGTGCTGGAGTCCTGGAGGATTCTTCAGAGCTACTGGTCTCCAGTCTGGGTTAGAATCCTGAAGAAGCTGTGTTTAGTACTGATGGCAGCTCCAGTATACATACTATCCAGCTAGAGTGAGGCAGGAAGGCTAAGAGCAGTTTTCTTGTCCTGTGACCTTTGTGTCTGGGGTGCCATCAGAAAACATAGCCCATATTTAGGGTGGGTCTTTCTGCTTCAAATAATCTGACCTTTAAAAGCCCTTGCAGCACCTTGAATTACAATTGTAGTCATGTTGACAAGATTAACCATCACAATGGTATGATTTTCATACCTTATGTAAAATGTAGCTTCTTATTTACTGTTTGTTTAATCTTTGAAGGCTATTCTAAATTGTAGGCAGTACTTAAGGTAGACTGTAGAAAAGACAGGCTGAGGGAAAGAAATATGCCCAGAACTGAATGCGTATGCTCATATGCATCTAAGTTTGGGGTGGCTGAGTAAAGTATAAATAGACTGTTCTCAACATAAGGGGGGCAGTTTGGTGGAAGTCACAGAAGGAGAAATGAATTTCTTATTTTGTAAATTAAATGTCATCTTTTTACAGTGTGTAGTGTATGTTTTTCTGCACCATGTGCAGATACTGCCCCCATTGGCAAGAAGATAGCATTGGATCCCCTAAAAATGGAGTTAGGATGGTTGTGAACCACCAATGTGGGTCTTGGGTGTTGAACCTGGGTCCTTAGAAAGAGCAGCCAGTGCTCTTAACTGCTAAGCCATCTCTCCAACTCCCTAAATGTGTTACTATCTGTACTCTAGTCCCAGCTTCTCATTCTGTTTCTCAGGTGTCAAGAGACTCTTCTGAGCTGATAGAGATACATGCCAAGCTTGTGTTGTGTGTGCTTTCAGACGAAAGTTGTGGGTAGTTAGTAGAGTGTCATAACTATTTTTCTTATTGCCTTAGAGTGCTTGTGCACAGAGCTCGGAAACTTGCCCAGCAATACTATCTTGTCTACCAAGAACCCATCCCCACAGCCCAGCTGGTACAGAGAGTAGCCTCTGTGATGCAGGAGTATACCCAGTCAGGGTAAGTTGTTCTTATTACTTGAAGACATGTATCATGAATTTGAAGAAGAAAAAACATAGTAAAAGAAAACAAATGAGTAGGAGTCTTATTATTTCTGTATTTGCTGAACAAACAAAGAAAATCACTGTGATATAAATGTTTCTGATTTTGATTTGAAATAATTAAGATGAAAATGTGACTGTATGTCCTGGTGCACACCTGTAAGCTGAGTATGTGGGACACTGAGGGAGGTAGTTGACAAACTCAGGTCACATCTGGGTTACATAGTTAGATGCTGTCTCAAAAGGAAGAAAAGGGGAAAAGAGTGTGTTCTTATCCTGCAGCAGAATAAAGCATCTTGATTTTTAGATGGTGATTCTTTATAGGCAGTCTTCAGTGCCTCTGTACTTAGCTTTTCTACCTAAAGTGATTGTGAGCATATAAAACAGCAATAACATTTTAATACCAGTTTTATTTTTTAAAGAATTACTTTGTTTTTATTTATGTATATGGATGTGTGTGTGTTTGCACACCAGAAGAGGGCATTGGATTCCATGACAATTCTATAAGACTACAGTTACTAGACAGTTGTGATCCAGGACCTCAAGAAGAGCAGTCAGGGCTTTCAGCTGCTGAGCCGTCTCCAGCTCCCACCTTAAATATACGGTGAATAAGATGGTGGGAAAGTACTTGCTGACGCACAGCCTTGTGGGGAAGACTATTTATTAGATTTGTTAGGGTGTGCTTCTCCATGCTTAACTTAGACTGTGGCACCTTTATAGTGTGTGTCTCACTCTGATTTGTGTTGCTCCAACAAAATACCTGAGCTCTGTGCGTCCGAGGACATGGTTTGCACTTACACGGGTAATTTGGTTTTGGTAAGGTTTTTCTGGCAGATAGCATTGCATGGACAGATGTCACACGGTAAAAGAAGAGCAGGCAGTGACCTCCATAGAAACTAATCCACTTCTGTCAGACTTAACCCGTCTGAGAAAGAAGCATTATTAACCCTTTCCCAGGATGGCACCATGTTCTGCCTCTTGACACAGTTCTGTAATGATGTTACACTGAGAATTACTTTCTCCTGAAGTTTTGGGACGCAAGGTGCTATGTCATTTGGTTTAGGCTTACTGCTCTTCCCAGCTATAATAAAAAGAATTCATTTTAAGTTGGTTCATTTAGAAGTTAAAGTTAAGAAGTCTAATTCAGTTTACTTGGTAATTTGCTTTACTTGCGAGTATATATAAATCTTTTTCATTTTCTTTCTACAGTGGTGTTCGTCCATTTGGTGTTTCTTTACTTATTTGTGGGTGGAATGAGGGACGACCATATTTATTTCAGTCAGATCCATCTGTAAGTATCATTACATATATTTGAAGCATTAATTAGAATTGCTTTTTATATATCTAATAAAAGTTGAAATCATAAAAGTTTAAAATTCACCGTTTCCTTTTTTCCCCCACTTGTTTTAAATGATCTATTTTTACCTTTAATTATGTGTGTACATGTAAACAGGTTTTTCTGTCCTGCCTGGTTCCGCAGCCACTTCCAAAGTAATCCCTCAGAGGATTACGTTAATTGTAAATGTTTGGCTGATGGGTCAGACTTATACTAGTTAGCTTCTACACTTAAATTAACCCATTTCTGTTAATCTGTGTATCGCCAAGTGGCCAGTGGCTTACTGGTGCTCTGGCATGTTGCTCCTTGGGTGGCTGCTGGTGTCTCCTGACTCTGCTGTTCTTTTCCTGTATCTCTGCTTGGATTTCCCTCCTGGCTCTATCCTGCATTGCCATAGGCTGAAGCAGTTTTATTTATTAACCAGTGAGAGCAACACATATTCAAGTGTGCAGAAAGACATCTCCCAGCATATACATATGTGTCTGTGTGGGTATGTGTATGTGACTGAAGCTGCCCATGGAATCCAGAGAAGTCAGGTCCCACTGGAGCTGGAGCTACAGGTAGTTGAGAGCCACCTGACTTTGTGCAGGGACTAGAATTTGGGTCTTCTCAAAGAGCTGTAAGCATTCTCTCAACCCTAAGCCATCGCTCAAGCCCTTCACTTCTTCTGAGAAAGTATAAAGTAGTGCTGTCTCATCTGTCCACTAAAAATGAGTGACCACCAGTTTTCAGGATAATGTGACACAGCTTTAGATTCGTGCAGTCTGTTAAGCTGAACTGTTACTTGGTATTTTACTTTAACTCCTACTTCCTTTTTTCTAGCCTTTAAAGTAGTCTTATTTACAGTAATTTCTCTTGCTCATTATCACTGTATGTGTGTATTATGTACATAGATACATACCTGAGTAAACCATTACCAAAGTCAAAATTAACCTCTGAGTTCCTTCATGACTTTGTCATCTGTTGTATAACCTTTAAACAAAATCTTTTCTATGAAATTTCCACTCAATTTGAATAAATAATCATAACTTTATATGTTAGAGACCAGTTTACAGATGTAAGAGGAATAGAGTTATCCGAGTGTTTTAAAATGTTTGTCTTTCCTGATTAGGGAGCCTACTTTGCCTGGAAGGCCACAGCAATGGGGAAGAATTATGTGAACGGGAAGACTTTCCTTGAGAAGAGGTAGGCTTCCCAGGATCAGATTCCTGAGCAGACTGATCTTACAGATGTCAGATCTCTTTACGTGATTAATTCATGAGTCTAACAGGCTCAGTGTATCATTCTGTATTTGAGTCTAGTTAAAGATAAAGGAGAAAATGCCCTGAATCTTGATTTCCTGATCTTCGGTGTATTTAGTGGTAATATTACTCATTTCCTAACGGTATTGCTCAACCTTGTTTCATTTTTAAAGTTTTTATGTTCTTGGGATTTTGGGGGTGACTGAGACAGGATTCCTCTAGGTAGCCCTGGCTCTTCTTAAGCTGCCATGTAGACGACCATGTTTCTAACTCACAGGGATTCACCTGCTCTGCTTCCTGAGTGGTGTGCCAGCATGCCCAGTCATTGGTTGCTTCTTAAATGTTTACTTCTTAATTCATTTCCCCCATCATTTTTTTAAAGCCATTATATTTAGAGTAGAAAAATGTTTAAGCCGGACAGTGGTGGTACACACCCTTAATTCCAGTGCGCAGGAGGCAGGGGCAGGCTGATCTCTGAGTTTGAGGCCAGCCTGGTCTACAAGAGCTAGTTCCAGGATAGGCTCTAAAGCTACAGAGAAACCTTGTCTCGAAAAACAAACAAACAAAAAAGGATGTTTAATAATGACTTATGAAAAATAAAAATTGAGATAGGTGGATGCAGAGGCCCATGCCTGTAATCCAGCAATTGTGAGGATTGTTTGCAGTTAAGGCCAGCCTGGACTGCAGAATGGGCTGTGCTTCAGGCTGTGCTATAAACAAAACAAATTGTGAGCCTAGTGGTTGGCATTGAGAAGATCACGTGATGTATGTCTAAGAATGGTGTGCTGTGTAAAATTTGCTGTCAGTGCTGTGCACACAAGCTGTTTCACTCACAGTTATATCCGAATTCAGTGTCGTCGTTCTCTGATATTTTGGATAGGAAGTTTTATGGCTGAGGTCTAACAGATGACTCTTCTTTGTACAATTTTCATGTAATATTCATGTTATAGTTATTAAAGATCTTAGACTTTTGATCACACTGAAATCTCAATCTTCATAAAAAGCACTTTAAATTTTACTTAGTAATGAGTTTTCAGTGCTGTGTTATAACCAATAATAAAGGATTTTAGCAATAGTCTGACATTGTAGTGGTAAAGCAAAATATTTTTAATGACGCTTTTTCATGGTGTTAGAAGTTTAGTAGCTGTGCCACTCACTTTATAGTTTGAGGATAACTCACTGAGATGATTAGGGAATGTTCTTACAACTTTGTGCTTTTTATTTTTCAGTTTTTCGAGAAAGGGTTTCTCTCTGGCTTTGGAGCCTGTTGTTATTAGGTCTCATTGCTCCTTTTACTACCAAACATCCCTACGTTTCCTTAAAAGACAGTTCTGGGTTTTAATATTCATAATGACTTTTAAAACTGAGAATCTGTATACTTTGATACATTCATGAGACAGGCTACAAATTGTGTTATGCACCTTTTGGGTGTGGATCAGTGAGGTCGTGGACTGTTCTGCAGTTCTACTACAACTTAGTGCTTTTAAGAGGGTTAGATTTTTAAAAGACTCAACGCTTTTACTGTCCTTTTATTTAAAATAGCCATGAAGAGTCTAAGCAGTGCCCTAACAGCAATATTTTCGATGTTTTTCTCTAGATATAATGAAGACCTAGAACTGGAAGATGCCATTCATACAGCCATCCTAACTCTAAAGGTTAGCTCAGTATCCACCGATGGTTTTAAAAGGATAGTTTCCCTAATGAACTGCCTGTGAAATTGACCATTTCCTGTCTTCCTCAATTAGGAAAGTTTCGAAGGGCAAATGACAGAAGATAACATAGAAGTTGGGATCTGCAACGAGGCTGGCTTTAGGAGGCTCACCCCAGCGGAAGTGAAGGACTACTTGGCGGCCATAGCGTGATGGAGATGTGCCCGGACAGCTCAGATCAAACAGTCTATCCACGTACACATGTTTAAAGTATGTTTTGTTTGTGCAGACTTATTTCTACATGGTTTAATGGATTCACATTTTTAAAATAAGAATCATAATAAACTGTTAAAACCAAGTTCTAGCTTTTAAGAGTAAAGTTTGAACATACTTTCTTCTCATTTTATCATAATTGGTTTTGGAAATTACATTACAAAATCACTCTAATTTTCAGATATTTTTGTTATTAGATCTCATTGCCCTTTTTACTACCAAACATCCCTACATTTCCTTAAAAGACAGTTCTGGGTTTTAATATTCATAATGACTTTTAAAACTGAGAGAATCTGTATACTTTGATACGTTCATGAGACAAGCTACAAATTGTGTTATGCACCTTTTGGGTGTGGATCAGTGAGGTCGTGGACTGTTCTGCAGCTGTACTACAGCAGTCAAGGGTTAAGCAACAGTGGTCTCCTCTCAGAGATACGTAACTAAATAAACCATGGTGTGCTAGATGCTATGTGTTTCTCCATCTCCTGTAGTAAACATATTTAAAAGGATTCCCTTGATTATGGAAGTACTTCTCTTAAGGGTAAATATTAGTATTGGTATCAAATACTAAGTTCAGAGCTCAGCTCCCTCCTTAGTGTGAGAAGAACCTTCACTGGAGGTAGGTCCTTAGCAGTGAGCAAGTAGTTAGTGGCACATTATTTTAATCGGGTTTCCTCCCTCAGGCATCTTAGGATAAAAGACTACAGAACAGACTGTTTATGAATGTCATCAATTTGAACAGGGAGGCAGTTCAGTGACTTAAATGTAATTGAAGAGAATTTGACCTTTAAAGTTTAGACAGGGTGGGCTGTTTTGCTACCTATTGTCACTATAAGTCCATATGTTGTTGATGGAGGCGGTAACATTTTAAGAGATGGAAAGATGGCACCTTGACCTTCTGGAATTATTTATGTATGGTGTGTATATGGGCACGTGAGTTTGTGTGGGTAGCAATGATGTGGAGAACGAGAGGTTGGTGTTGGTTTACTCTGCACCTTATGTATTGAGACCCAGAGCTTGCCTGGTGACTGACTAGCTAGCTCGCTCTGGAAGACCCATGTCTGCCTTCTGAATATTGGGACTAAATGACTACCGTGCTTGCCCTGTGAGTACCTTGTATCCATACTCCAGGTCTCACACCTGCATCGCAGGTGCTTCAGCCTCTGCCCTGCCCTTCTGTCTTAAGATATGTCTTCAGGGGCTGGAGAGATGGCTTATCAGTTTCGAGCACTTGTTGCTTTTGCAGAGAATTTCCATTCAGCTCCCAGTATCCATATGGTGGCTCACAACCATCCATCGCTCCAGTTCCAGAGGAGCTGAAATCCTCTGATTTTTGTGGGCACCAGGCTCACACATGTACACAGACATACATGCAGACAAAACAAAAGAAATAAAAGATGTGTCTTGAGAGCATCATATCTCTAGTTGGGCTTGGTGAATCTAGCACAATTATCATAATATTCAAAAGGGCTTTTTAAAGTCAACTTATTACCTGGCTGAGTATGCAAAGAAATACGAGCAGTGGTTCTCAACCTCTGGGCCAGGGCCCTTTGGGGGGTTGAAGGACCCTTTCACGGGTTGCCTAAGACATTCAAAAACGAATCATTACATTACAATTCATAATAGCAAAATTACAGTTATGAAATAGCAATGAAAATAATTAGGAAGGTTGAGAATCACTGAATTAGATTTCCTTTTTTGGCTAAACTTAATGTTGTAGGTGAAAAGACGGATTTCTGTTAGACCTCTCATGACCAATATTAAAGAAAAAACCAACCAAACAAAACAAGATGCTCATTGATGGAGTCTTATACCTGTCATCCCAATGTTCTGGAGGCAGAGGCAGGTGGATCAGGAGTTTGAGGCCAGCCTGGTCTCCACAGTTCCAGGCCAGCCAGGGTTACACAAAAGAAACCCTGCCTTAAAAAACCCAGAAGAATGCCAACATTTATAAATCAAAAAAGCAAAGCAAAGGTACGTAAATTTAAGATGGGGGTGCAAACAGGTGCAGCAGAAGTCGCAAGGAAGAGGTGACATCACTGAGGCAGATTAAGTTCATGGTTAGTTTTGCTTCTGCCTCAGCTAAGTGCAAAGCTGCCTACAACTCCGTTCTGTTCACAAAATAATCCTTTTCATTGTCCTTGAAACTAAACTGTTTCCTTTTTGTGCCAGTTATTTCAGAAACCCATTCTTTGATGTAGGGACCCATTGCTTTTCTAAACATTATTAAACTCTCAAATCATTTTGGGTTGTGGATTTTAGTTTCTTTTAATTTTGTGTTTTACAATGTTCCCAGAGTTTGTAGCTTCTCCCAACATTTGGTTCAATTTGTATCTGATAGACTTTTGTCTCTAATCCCTTACCATACGTTTTGCTGTGCAAAGCGTCTAGAAGAGAAACGTGGATGTTACTAACATTTGCATATCTGGGGGATAAGAGGGAGTTGGAAAGGGAAGGGTGTGGAGGACTGCTTTATAGTGGAGTGTATTTTCAGTAGTTATAGACAGAAATTGCTGAACTTGGTACTTAACCTCGCCCACTTTCCTGCCAATGTGTGCAACCCTAAAACCCCAACCCTAAAGAAGCTTAAAGTTACTCAGTGGGAGGGGTTGGCGTTTTCCTGGGAGTAGAATTTTAATTCTCTGGCCACCGGTCCAGTGGCCCTTTGATAAGTTGCAGTTCTTGTCTATGGCAAAATACTGTCCTCTCTATAGCCTCTGGAATGTTACAGTGGTTTTATTTGCCCTTGGATGAGTTTGCAAATGTTTGTTTAAATAAGGATACTTTAAATACGGATGACTTTGTGTGTCATTCTCTTGTAGGGGCCATGCTACTCTCTGGGCTAATGTTTGTTTATGTGCTGCCAAAGCAAGCACTTCTGCTACATACTTAATGTTCAATGCAGTGAACACCCAAGTAGGTTCTATACTATAAAAATTAAATTTTTAAAAAGATTTATTTATTAAATTCTTTGTAAATTTTTTAGTATATTTAAAATTTTCCTTTTAATTTTCTTGATTAAGGAGCTAAAATTTCTGTCAATGGAATAGCTGACTCTTGCTCTTTGCTGTTGTCAGCCTTACTATACTTTCTAGCCAACTGATAATTAAGGTTTGAGACACGGCCTTTATCTTTGAAGAGCTCTTTCCTATGCTGTGCCTTCTCTTAAATGAAGAAACTTCTTATTTGAGGCTCAGAGTAACTGATCACTTGAAGGTTCCAGTTATGAGATACTTTCTAAAGCCACTTAGTTCTGCCATCTCTGTCCAAACAGAAGAATGTTCACAAGAAGAATGTTCGGAAGTGTGTGAATGAGTCTGGGACATACCTACTTTGTTGTACACCATGAATATTAGATGTCTTTGGAGTTTTTTATTCTTGTTTACAGTTTCGAGGGGAAAGGTGGAGCAGGTGGGTACTGGAAGATGGGCGCACTGGAGGAGCAAATAGGCTAGGAGGACCGTTTGAGTCAGAAAAACTCCACTTAATAATGGCGCCTGCCTTTTGTTGGGATTTAATCTGACACCCTAGTTTACCTTCATCACCATGAACTTATTGCTTGGGAAGGATGAGGAACGAGCCAGCTGTGCTGGTTGGAAGAGAAGACTCTGGTGTATTCTTAACAAAGTCTTTTAAGGAATCTGTCTTTAATTCTGCCCCCCATCTAGACACCTGAAGTTCCAAAGCCCTTCTGCAGTTTGTACTTGATAAATTGATAAAGGTGTTTTAGGCTGTGCTGAAGGTATGTAACCCCCGGGGCTGCCTGGGCTTAAATAACTGGTCTGTGGCTCAGCTGCAAAGTTTGTCTATCTACCCATCAGTTTAGCACTAAATAAATAATGCGTGGTGTATTTGGAATAGCACTGGCCACGGTAAGCACCGAATGAGACATTGCTTCTTTCTTAGTATTTAGGTTGTGTAATTTGCAATTATTTCTATCATCCAAGTAGCACTTGGGACAAAGAGCAGGATATAAGGAAAAGATGACAACTATGTCTAGTATTTACAGTTAGTTTTGTTTCTCAATTTCTTTTCTGGGTAACTTTGAACACTCCACTTGGCTAAATATTCCCAGCCCTCAGAAGCTAAGCTGTACTTTGCCCTATTGGTCGGACAGCACATTTAAAGTTTCCTATGGAGAGCCAGGATGGTGCAACTCAAAGTGCGTCCGAGCTGCGTTTGGAGCCTCTGATGGCTCTCCCGTTTTTATTTTGTTAAAAATAACCAAACCTGAGGCCCAAATAAGTTTTACCATCCAGGACCCAGTGGGAATGCGGCCCGGCCCTAGACCCGCCTCTGCTTGCTGGCAGCTCAGCTGTCACACTGGTGGCAGAGGCCTGATGCCCTCAACAAACATGGCCGCTTCGTCGCCGCCTGGGACTCTCGAGCTCAAACTCACCCGGCCGGAACCACGTAATGCCGGAGGCGGGCTCAGCGGGCGGAGAGTGTCTCTGCAGCGCAAGGTGAGGGCTGGCTGCTGAGCTGTCTTTGCACACTGCCTCTGTGTGCCCTCGCCATGTGCGCGTGGGGCCTGTGGCGCTGCTGGTGAGGATCCGGAGACTGAGGGAGTGAGTGGGGAAGAGAGGGAGGTGGGAAGAGAGGAGGGACTGGGCCGGGTGTCCCGACAGGAAGGGTCAGTTCTGCGTCTTCCCTATTCTGGCCTTTAAGCCCCGGGCCAGCAGGAGCCTGTTTGTTTGATCGGGACCTGTTGGGCCAGGCTCAGCTGTGCAGGTGGACGGACCCAGATGGGAACCATAACCCCCTAGAAGCACCTCACCCCTGGCCCTCCCACCTCGCTATAGTCCAGCAGCCAGCCTGGCCACCCTGGCGTGCTCTTTTGAGTCCCTCTTCCAGCGCTTCCTTCAGAATGGGAACGGGAGCAAGTTAGTTGTCTCCTTTGTTCTTTTTAAAACACGCAGCTGACGTCACATGCAGAAATCACGCAGTCTCGATTCCTTGGCATCTGTACCCTGTGGAAATCAAGAGATAACTTCTTAAAAGACATCCATCCAGGCGTGGTGGTGTACACTTTTAATCCCAGTTCTTGGAAAGCAGAGGCAGGCAGGTCTCTGAGTTCAAGGCCAGCGTGGGCCCAGGAAAGCCAGGGCTAAATAGAGAAACACTATCTCAAGGAAAACCCTACCAAGGAAACAAGGAAGGCGTAAAAGGTGAGAGACCCTAGTACCAGTTTAGGAGACACTTTTGCTTAGGACAAATTGTACCTTTTTAAACGATTATTTTTACATTTTAAAATGTCAATTTCATATCATGTGTTTTGCCATATTCACTCTGACTCCCCCAACTGTTCCCAGGTCTACCCCATCTTCCCTACCCATCCACCACCACCCCTCCTTCACATAGTCTTGAACGTGCGATCTTCCATTGGAGAGTGGCTGCCATACTGGGGCTATATTCTTAGAGAAAATGCTCTTTCCCTCTCCCAGCAGCTAAAATTTCCAGTAGTTGCCTGGCTAGTGAAGGGATTCTGGGCCTAACTCCACTTTCCATGCTTGGTATTTGGTCTAGCCCCTGCTTGTACAAATGCATGCTGTCACAGCTAGTGTGAGTTCATAGACACAGCTGCCCTGCTGTGTCCAGAGGAGGGTCCTTGTAGCTAGCCATCCACTGCTTCTGAGTCAAGGAGGGAGGGGTTACCTGTGTTCCCTTCAGGGCTCAGAGTGATGCAGCCTTATATTCCCTGCCCCTTGACCGGTTGTGTCTTTTTTTGAAAGGTCTTTAGTGTTATTTGCACATACACCCTACACTCCCCTCTCACTCCAGCTTAGCCATTCCTGGTCCATTTTAACATTTAACCCTTCACACCAGTGTATCCATCTCTTCTCTATTAAAAGCCCCTCCCAACGGCCCCTTAGTAATGTCTGATTTCTATGGCTATGTTTTCAGTTCTCTATATATTCTAGACACTAACCCTCTGTCAGGTGTACAGGTGATAGTTTTTCCCCATTTTATAGGCTGCCTCATTACTCAAGTAATGGCATCTTTTGCTGAATAGAAACTTTTTAGTTTCAGGTTTCATTTATTAATTGTTGTTTTTAATGTCTGTGCCATGAAGGTCCTGTTTAGAAAGTCCTATCCTATGCCAGTGAGTTCTAGTATGTTTATACTTTCTCCTCTCTCAGAGTTAGGATATCAGAGTTGGTTTTTTTTTTTTTTTTTTTTCCTTTTTTCAAGGCAGGGTTTCTTTGGAGCCTTGGAGCCTGTCCTGGAACTCACTCTGTAGACCAGGCTGGCCTCGAATTTAGAGAGATCCACCTGTCTGCCTCCCAAGTGCTGGGACTAAAGGCGTGTGCCACCACCACCCAGCTAGGGTATCAGATGTTAGGGTGGGCTCCTTGACCCGTTTGGAGTTGAGTTTTGTGTCAGGTGAGAGATAAGGATCAAGTTTCATTCTTCTACTTTTTAGCTACCCAGTTTGACCAACACCATTTGTTAAAGATGCTTTGTTTTCTCCATTGTGTATCGGTAATATCTTCGTCAAAAATCAAGTGGCTTTAGGCGTGAGAGTTCACATATAAACCCTCAATTTATTTTTCATTGATCAGTGTGTTTGCGTTTTATGCTAGTGCTGTGCTCTTGTTGCTGTAACTCTGTAGTATAGCTTAGAAATCTGAGGCGACAGCTCTAGCCATTCTTTTGTTGTTTGGAATTGTTTTCGCATTTCTGCTTTTTTTTTTTTTTGTTGTTCCATGTGAAATTTAAGATTGTTTTTTTCAACTTCTGTAAGTCATTGTTTTGGAAATTTGATGGGGAGTGTGTTGAATATAGTATGAATTTGCTTTTGGTAGGATGGTCGTTTCCACAGTATTAGTCCTCCCAACCCGTGAGTGGTCTTTCCAGTTTCTTCAATGCATTTCTTCAGTGTTGGAAACTTTTTTGTTTTGTTTAATTTATATTTTCTTCCACACACTATATTGTTATTATAGTCTTTTACCTCTCAGATATGCCTTCCCGCCCCTCCCACCTGACTTCATGTTCTGTCAAAATAACAAAGACAAAGCACACGAAAAACACGGACTCCATATTGTGTTGGCCAGCTCTTCCTGAGCATGAGATTTGCCCCGGAGTTCGGATGATATTATACAGTGTCATTCCACTGAAGGAAACTCGTATTTCCTCTCCCAGTGGTCACGAATTACAGATAGTTTCTTGGTAAGGGGTGAAACTTTGTGCCCACTTCCCCTCCCCTGTGCTGGGATATTTTCTCTGACTTGATTTTATGGAGGTCTTGTGCATGCGGTCAGTCTCTGTAGAGGATTCTCACAGCTGGTCTTCAGGAGCCTGTGCGAGGTGCTCAGTACTTTTCCGCAGGCAGTGAGTGCTGCTGGAATTGGCAGTGTGAGTCTTGGATCGCTGCCTGGTATGAGGTCCAGAAGGCAGGCATTCAGTATCCTTAGGTGAGTCTCAAGGGAAAGTGAAGTTGCTGGTTTGGGGGTAAAGCCCCTCCTAGAGAGAGGGGGTCATCAGGTTGTAGGGATGGGTGGAGCTGGAGGCATGAGTCTGGTGTCTGCTTAGAGAAGGGACCAGGTGTGCACATCAGAGATATACAGAGATGGCTGGGGTGGGCAGAATTGAGCTAGTGGGCGAATCTAGGCTACCCAGCTAGGGATTGGGACAAGGTCTTTCAGTGGAAATGGATGGATGTGGTTCGTGGCAGGAGGTGCTGCCTCCCTACCTGAAAGAGGAATGTGGAGAAAGGTGCTGGAAGGCAAGCAGGACACTTGCTCCTTAGAGGTTGCAGGACTGTTGGTGTGGCTCCTTGGATAGTGGGGATGGTTGTAGTTGAAGGCACAGTCTGATGTCCCTCTGGAGAAGAGACCAGATGTCAGCAGTAAGGAGCGGACTTGGCTGGAGTGGGGAGAGTCTTAAGTTCCTGGGGGCAAGGGCTTTTGGCAGGGGGGGTGGTAGGGGTTCTTTAATTGAAAGAGCATAAGGGAAGCTATTTTCAACTTTTACTCTTGATGTTTGGAACCTTGACTTTTTTTTCAGTAGCTGAATAGTAAGACTAGTTATTGATAGAGATATAAAACACATTGCCAAACGCCTGCTTTTTATCCTAACGTAGGACTTGGCTGTGGATCTCATAGTTCAAAGAAATGAAGGTCTGAACAAGTGTCAGAATCCAACTCACTTCAGGAAGAGTTCAAGCTTACAGCTTTCTTTCAGCTGTCCAAGGAAGGAGCCTCTCGCAAAAGCCCAGCTTCATATGCTCAGTCTTCATAAACTTTGTTGCTAGGTTGGACTTTTTAACCCAGCTTGTGCTGGCAGAACGCTGAGGTTTTCCCTGTTTGTGTCTTCGGTGAGAGGAACAATGCTGTCAGCATGTCTTCACAGTCCATGCTCTCTGAAAGAATTGCCATAGCCAAGGAACTGATCAAGAGAGCAGAATCCCTTTCGAGATCAAGAAAAGGTGGCATAGAAGGGGGCGCAAAGCTGTGCAGCAAACTGAAGGCCGAGCTGAAATTCTTACAGAAAATAGAGGCTGGGAAGGTAGCTATTAAAGAATCCCACTTACAGAGCACAAACCTAACACACTTGAAAGCCATCGTGGACTCGGCAGAAAACCTGGAAGAAGTTGTCAGCGTTCTCCGTGTGTTCGGCTACACAGACACCTTGGGAGAGAAGCAGACTCTGGTGGTGGATGTCGTAGCGAACGGCGGTCACACGTGGGTCAAAGCTATTGGCCGGAAGGCCGAAGCGCTGCATAACATCTGGCTGGGCAGGGGCCAGTATGGCGACAAAAGCATCATTGAGCAGGCCGAAGACTTCCTGCAGGCCAGCCGCCAGCAGCCGGTGCAGTATAGCAACCCTCACATCGTGTTTGCATTTTACAATAGTGTCTCTAGTCCCATGGCAGAGAAGCTGAGAGAGATGGGCATCTCTGTCAGAGGGGACATCGTCGCAGTCAACTCTCTGCTAAGCCACCCTGAAGAGCAGCAGCCGAGCGAGAGCGAGCCCGACGATGAGGACGAAGAACTTCTGCAGGTGACCAGAGTGGACCGAGACAACGTCCTGGCGCACGTTGCATTTCCCACGGAGATCAAGGTGGACGTGTGCAGAAGAGTCAACCTGGACATCACTACTTTAATCACGTATGTATCTGCCATGAGCTATGGAGGCTGCCACTTCGTCTTCAAAGAGAAAGTACTCACAGAGCAAGCCGAGCAGGAGAGGAAGGAGCAGGTCTTGCCTCAGCTGGAAGCGTTTATGAAGGACAAGGAGCTGTTTGCCTGTGAATCTGCTGTCAAGGATTTTCAGTCTATTCTAGACACCTTAGGGGGCCCAGGAGAGAGAGAGAGGGCCGCTATGCTAATAAAGCGAGTCACCGTGGTCCCAGACCAGCCTTCTGAGCGCGCCTTGAGACTCGTGGCAAGCTCAAAAATTAACAGCCGCTCGTTAACGATTTTTGGGACAGGAGACACCCTGAAAGCCATCACTATGACCGCCAATAGCGGCTTTGTCAGAGCCGCCAACAACCAGGGTGTCAAGTTCAGTGTCTTCATCCATCAGCCCAGAGCACTTACCGAGAGCAAAGAGGCCTTCGCCGTGCCCGTACCGAAAGACTTCCGCAGTGACAGTGCACGCTAGTGGTTCCTTTACATGTTGTCGTGGAAATACATTATTTATACCAAAGGCTGGCCTTCCCGTCTATATGGAGAGAACAAAGTTTATAGTAAAAATAATATTTAGTGCTCACATGTTTAAGTATAAGTTTCTTGTGTTTTGTCTGTTTAAGGTCTATGAATTAGAAAAAAACTCAAGAGACAATCGTACTTATCTCTGCGTTCCATCACAAGCTCCGTTATAGCCGGGAAGAACAGACACGCGGCTGCGTAGGCTTTTAGCGATCTTGTGATGCTTTTGTTTGCCTCCGCCTCCGCCTCCACCACAGGTGATTGCATTTCATGGAATACGGCTACATTGATTCTTGAATTCATTAAATAATCTGGAGAAAACTCCGAGGCCTGCTTTTCATTGTATTTATTTACCAGTTACGTCGATTGGAAGTGGGAGGTAATAGTTATTTCAGATTCTAAAGTCACTGCTTGTTAGTAGTGAAAAGATAATGCTAAAAAAAAATTAAAACTAATACTATTACAAATTTTAGAAATTAGAAGTCGGGTGGGTAGAGAGTATGGGGTGGTGGGAGAAGAAAAAACTTTAAAAATTAAACTAAAATTCTTATAGGAAATAGAGAATACTTTTAAAATATTTAATTTTTAAAACAATTGCTTTGTGTCAGACACAGTCTGGTGGGCGTGTCTCTAGTTTATAACTCACGGGCTGAAAGTGAGCATTGATCCATTAAATCCCATCTATTTATGGTGTACCGCTTGTCTTAGCTAGGATTACTATTGCAGCAAGTTGGAGAGGGAAGGAGGGTTTATTTGGCTCACACATCTTGAGTCCCGTTGATTGAGGAAGCCAAGGCAGGAGCTCAGGGAACCTGGAGGCAGGAGTTGATGTAGAGGCAATGGTTGCTCAGTCTTCTTTCTTATAGAACCCAGGACCACCAGCTCGGGCGGCACCAGGGCCACCAGCTCAGGCGGCACTACATGCGATGGGCTAGGTCCTCTCTGATTATCACTAATTAAGAAAATGCTCCACAGGCTTCCCTTCAGCCCAGTATTATGGAGGCATTTTCTCAGTCGAGGCTCCCTCCTCTCAGATGGCTTCAGGTGGTGTCAAGTTGAGCAGAAACTCGCCAGCCCACATCTGTGAAGAGGGAAGGGAGGCAACTGTCTTCCTAAACTAGAACACTGAAGGGGGAAGTATTAATTTGGACAACTTGAAAAATGTATTTTTTAAAACTCAGTTTACTTTTTAAGTCCGAGCAACCCTATGTTGCAAGTATTTTGAATTATAAAAACTACCTTATTCTTTTAGCTGATAGATAGCACGTGATCATTGCGTCGCCCCCCTCCTGAAACGGTGATGGGAGAAAGCAAAGAAATGGTGGCAAGGGTAGTGAGTGGTGGCTGCCTTTAGTTAAAAATAAGTTTTGTGACTACAGCGTGCTCAATATTTTATCATTTACAATCAAACAGGTTAACAGAGTAGGCATATACTTTTCCTAAAAACTGCGAATCTGAGGGTAGCATTGTCCTTAGCTAGCACCTGTACGGTTCAGTGCTGACATTTGATCTGGCAGCCTCCCTGCTGGTCTGTTCCAGCTGTGCTGACTCACAACCACGACGAGGTGAGGTTTCGTTCTCAGGGTCTAGGAACGCTGATGTGAATTCAGAATTAAATTTAGAGTGGCGCTTCTCTGGGAAAAAAGATCCCTAAACATATTTCCCTCAGGAAGAGCTGAAAATTAAGTTTCAAGTTTAATGCGGGGAGGTGTTGCATAGTTTAGAAATAAAATTTACAATTTTGTGTACCTTTTAAGGCATTGTGGGTTTTGACCCCATTGGGGGTTGAACGACTTTTTTACAGGGGTCACATAAGACCATCAGAAAACACAGGTATTAGCCGGGCGGTGGTGGCGCACGCCTTTAATCCCAGCACTCGGGAGGCAGAGGCAGGCGGGTCTCTGTGAGTTCGAGGCCAGCCTGGTCTACAAGAGTTAGTTCCAGGACAGAAACCAAAAAAGCTACGGAGAAACCCTGTCTCGAAAATCCGAAAAAAAAAAAAAGAAAAAAAGAAAACACAGGTATTTATAGGTATTTACATTACTATTCATATATTCATAACAGTAGCAAAATTACAGTTACAAAGTAGCAATGAAAATAACTTTATGGTTAGGGTTCACCACAACATGAACTAAAGGGTCTCAGTGTTAGGAAGGTTAAAAACCATTGATTAAAGATGTTAAAATACTTAGCACTAGTGAGTACCAAGCATGGAATAATTTGGTATAAAACAGCAGATAATTATGAGGAATGCTTAGGATGGAGGAAAAAGGTAAATATATAATGTATTAATTTATGCCCGAAATACTATGAGTGTAGTAAGGGAGTAATTCTTAATCTGGGGTCAGAAGTCAAGAAGGAATGATGCTTGATTATCTCAGGGGTGAAGTTTATAAGTATGTAAGTCAAAAATGTCTGATCAAAGAATGACTGTGAGGGCCTAGTAGAAAACCAGGCCAGAGAAGTGGAAGGTTATTTTTTTAATTTATTCTTTTTATTATAGTGTATATTAGTATATTATATTTATTATATATATATTTGTTTTTTTCTGTTAAGATTTATTTTATTATGTATACAGTGTTCTGTCTGCATGTGTGCCTGCAGGCCAGAAGAGGGCCTCAGATCCCATTATAGATGGTTGTGAGCCACCATGTGGTTGCTAGAAATTGAACTCAGAACCTCTGGAGGAGCAGTTAATGCTCTTAACCTATGAGCCATCTCTCCAGCCAAAAATGGAAGTTTTATAAAAGGTAGGCAAGTTTGGCATATCAGATCTCTTTCAGGAAAACAGCAAAAACCTGTAGTTCAAAGAAAATATTTTAAGATATGGTGGCTAGCTGAGACCAGAGTGAGAGTGAGGGTCCATATAGACACGTGCTGTGTTTGAAGATATGGCGGTTAGCTGAGACTGGAGTGAGAGTCAGGGACCATATAGACACATGCTGTGTTTGAAGCAGCACTGACATGATGTTAACTTCATTTGGTGTTCGTTGAGGGCCTGCTATCTGCTGCTAGGTGTAGAGGAAGGGCTGGAATAAAAAAAAAAAAAAAAAAAAAAAAAAGACTTGGTTTCCAGAAGGGCGATTGCTGTCCCTGTTTGCTGGTGATCAGCTCCTAAGAACCTGGAATCTTTGCCAGTTAGAAAGTGAAGAGCCACAGCATTCTGAAGACACTGCTTTCTGAAGGGGCCACATCTGTGACCCTGCTGAACACCCTTGTCTCTCTCCTGGCATCCAGAGATTACAGTTTTAACAATATAGTAAGTGTAAGAAGTAGATGCGGTCCTTTATTGAGGCGCTTGGTCCTAGAATGAGCAAACTGCTCTCTCTGGAATGGTCCCCTACATCTTACCCCATACACCAAAGGCCTACTCAGGTTGACAAACAAGATCAATTCACAGTGTAGACATGATGAAGTTACAACAGGAATGCTCAGTTAGATCCCAGCTAAAAACTGTCAACTCATGTTAGGAAGAAATTAAAGCAAATGTCTTAGACATTATGAAGACTGAAGATAAAAGAAACAAAAACAACCTACAGTTGTACCAGGAAAAGTGGTAGCGTTTCGGGGGTCCTTCTGGGATGAGCTCCCTGACACCAACGATAGTGGAAGAGAGGAGATGTCACTGGTGGACGGAAGCCAGGACAACTGAAAGGCTTGGGGTGCCAGGTTCAGCTGCATTCTCATTTTATGTTCTAAAACAGTGGCTCTCAACCTTCCTAATGCAGCGACTCTTTAATACCATTCCTCATGTTATCGTGAACCCCCAATCATAAAGTTATTTTTGTTGCTACTTTATAACTATAATGTTGCTAATGTTATGAATCTTAATGCAAATATCTGATATGCAGGATATCTGCTATTCAACCCCTTTGAAAGAACTGTTTAACCTTCAAAGGGGTCGCCACCCACAGGTTGAGAAGTGCTGTTCTAAAGCAACAGGGCAGGGTGGCAATCAGCAGTTGTAAAGGGCAAAGGCTCCTTGTTTCAGCTGGTCCTCCAGGTCGTTCTGTTCCAGGTCGCACTGAAGTCAGACTTGGCAAATGGGCAGTACAAGTAGTGCTTGAAGTAAATTGCTAAGTAAATGAACCAGTATCTAATAATTGGCCTTTTCTACCTTATTCTACTTCAGTAGGCAAAAGAAAAAGTATGTTGAAAAGATGCCTTATTCTAGAAAGATAGCTTTAAAATCTGGGTTTGGAAAAGTAAAGCAACGTAATTTTAAGTAATAAGAAATAAAAGGCTGGCAGGGGTGGGGGTGGACCAGCCGGTAAACGTGCTAGTTGTGTGGGCTGCTGATCTGGGTTTGATCTAAGAACCTACATTAGCCAGATGCTGCAGTACACACCTGGAATCCCGACCCCCCCCTTCAGAAGGATGAAAGGCGACAGGAAAAACACATGGAAACTCACAGGCCAATGAGACTGGAGTAAGGTGCAGTGGCAGAAGCAGCAAGACATACCTTGACCTTGATCTTGACCCCACTGGGTGGGAGGTGGCAATTCATTCCTAGGAGTTTCCCTATGACCTCTACCCTTGCACAATGGCTTGTTTCTGTACACACACACACACACACACACACACACACACTAGAAAGAAAGAAAGGTAACTCCTACAGTAAATCAAGATGAATCAATTTCAAATGAGGTATGAGTAAAGAAAATTTCTGGTCAAGTCAGCTTCATCAGGTAAGAGTTAGTTTTAAATATCAAGAGGCTCTTGGTTTATGATACACCCCTTAAATAGAGCTGCAATATCTCACGTGGAAAGAAGGCTCGGCTTAGCTTCTGCTTTAGTGGGCTGGTTGTCTGAGCATCACTGAAGTGTGGATGCTTTCAAATTTATTTTCTCGGATGTGAACATAGGTCTTATGTTCAAATCTGAGAACATAGTATAAAACAGAATATGTAACACACTATCTTTTTGAGAATACACATCTCAGATTAAAAATAACAGAAGCAAAACAAAACAAAAAACTTCATCTATGGGAGTCTTGTTCCTGGGAGAAAGAGGGCAGACTACCCACCGTTAACAGTTGGCTAACCCTACCACGCAGGAGTTAGCCTTTATCCTGAGTTAGACTAAGAGTAGTCTTGTGGATACCTAAGGTCCCACGCAGGGAGCAGAGGAAGTTCTCAGTCAATGTGTGTTGGTTGCCATGGACACGGCCATACCAGAACACTGGCTTAGGTCCTCCCCACTCACCATAAGCCCTGCCCCCTTATTGCTCTAAACCCCTTCTTGCTCCAGGACTTCTGCCTGCCTGTTCAGCTCTGTTTGATAGACACACTGAGCTTCCCAGGTGCTGCGGTTTCACCATCAGGGAG